GGCTGATATTCATATAATTGTGTTCTGTGTTATTAATTTCTTTTCAAATCGATTGTTTTTATGGTCTGGAGGAAAACCTCAAAGCACAGTAGGGAACCGATTAAACCACAACTCGTTTTAAACAGGGTAGTCACCCACACTAAGTATTATACCACCTCTGACCAACAGTATGCATGCTCAAATTAATGACAAAAAACAGTATCAGCGAATAAGGCACACATAAGGTCGACTTGAGTAACCGCTGCCACACCATGATTCATCTTCAAAATGCTGACGCCATGGTCCTAGCCAGTGCGCATTTGAGAGGCATTCCCTCCCTGGAAATCCGCCCATGTTGAATAATATCAGGGGGTGAATGCCTTTCAAACGCGCACTGGCTAGGACCATGGCATCAGCATTTGATGATGAATTACAGGTTACGCCAAAATCATAGGAAAAACCCAAGAAGTCGACCTTCTGTGTACCTTATTCTGTGACAGTATGCTAACTGTAACTGCTACATATGCTTTTACTGTATGAGAACTCTTATAAAGATTTTGAAACACAGAGTCAGCTCAACTCAGTGAGAACTCTTGAATCAGCCATTTGATTGTTGTACCATAGTAAGTAGTATAGGGAATGAGGGTTCTAGACCACTTTTTGGCCCGCGATCTCACCCAACTTCCGGTCACCGGTTTCCATATTTTCCCCCAAAAAACGCGGGCTCATATATTTTTCTAGACCATTTTTTCTTGGTCTTTTTTACCTCATTTTTCTAGACCATTTTATCTGGTCTTTTTTTACCATCATTTTTCTAGACCACTTTTTAGATCATTTAATATCTGATTTTTCCTCGAGCATTTTTAGGTGACCGTAACTTTCAGATTTTGGTCTAAATTCTAAATCATCCTTCTTATCTTGTGTGCTCACTCCAATGTTAATATTATTTGATACAGAGAAATTTATATCACCAGCCTTTCCATTCTTAGAACTCTTACGACAACCACAAATCTTACCTAAGCAGGAGAAACATGACCTCCACCTTGACATCTTATCTTATGATAAACCCCATGTTAACTACCTGACCCCGAATATCGAAGTGACCAGCAAAAGGACATATCCATGCTAGAACCAGTGGGCATTGAGTGTTCAGGTTTAACTATTACACACCACGCCAAAGTATTATCTACCAGGTCAGCTTCACCACCTAAGTAGAACATACTATTACCCTTGAAAACGTAGCAAGCTGTGCTTCCACCGGTAGTTGTGTAAGTTCCATTAAACCAAGTGTGTGACAGTCTTCTTAAGTCAACTGTGGCAAGAGTGATTTCCTTTTTAACCTGTGTAAATTTTCCATTAGATTGCTTTTCATAAACGGTAGCCCATAGGATTAAAGCTAGGGGTATATTTAAAACAGTTGACAAACGTGGGTAGTCTGTTTTTATAGTTATTGACTCAAGGTTCAGGTCTGCCATATTATTAATAGGATCTGTTCTCCATGAAGGTGGAATCTGATCGTGACAGTAAGCGTAGTACCTTGTTGCTGCAACTGAAACACCACGATAACCCCAAATCCATTCTGCATGTATATGTCGCCGTATTCTTACATATCTTAAGTCAGCCGTTGCTTGGGTAAGGCCAGTTGAAGGTTTTAGGAAATTCTTTTCAACCCACTGTTTGTTAACAGCATCCTTATCATTTACAGGATCCTTCAAATCGAGAATTCCACTTGAGTTCCCCATATCCAAATCACCTTTTACCAGTCCACCTCTACTACTCATGAACTCATCAGTTGCCCACTTCTTACTTATAGCTGAACTGTCTGTTGTAGGACTTCCAACCCTAATTAACTCATAATCATTAACATCTAAGTTACTAGCTAAAGTGCCGCCATCACGTTTAAGAAACTGTGCGCACCAAGAAGTCATAGAACCGTAAGAAACGGCACTAGAACTCCCCGTTGACCCACTATTTAGCCCCGTAATAGTATTACCACCCATGTCGATATTACCGCTCATAGTAAAGCCACTACTACTTGCAGAACTCCCACTGACGTGATCCGTGACCCATTTCTTAGACACAGCAGAATTATCAGTTGTAG